GACTCTCCATAGAGCAACATTTGAATAGAGCCTTGATGGATGAATAGGTGAGAAAGATGGATGCAAGGGGTGAGAATGTGGAAACTGTGAGGAGGAAAGCAGCAGGGGGAGTGGGTGAATGGATGCCAGCATAGCTTGAGCATGGTTGGTGGGCCAGGGGTTGAATGGACCATGCAGGGCCTTTGGAGAAGAAATATTGTGGGTCTATGCCAAGCACAATGGAAGGAGCCTTTGTTGAGCATAAAATTGACATGTTCTCGGCCAGGCGTGGTGACTCATGCCTGTTATCCCAGCACTTTGGGGACAATCCAGCCTGATCAAAATGGTGAAACCCCGTCTCTACTAAAAATACAAAAATTAGCTGGGTGTGGTGGCGCACATCTGTGATCCCAGCTACTTGGGAGGCTGAGGTGGGAGAATCGCTTTAACCCAAGATGTGGAGTTTGCGATGAGCCAATATTATGCCATTGCAGTCTAGCCTGGGAAACAAGAGCAAAACTCTGTCAAAAAAAATTAACATGTTCTGATTTATGTTTGTAAAATTTAACTTATTACCACTGTATGGCAGATGTGTTGGAGAGAAGCAAAAATGGTTGTTAGGAAGATTTTACAGAAGTCCTGGCAAATGATGCTGGCTTTTGTGGTGGGTGAGTGGTGCCTGTGGTGACTGAGAGAAGTGGGTAACTCTGAGATATTGTTTGAATATAAAACTGGTAGAATTTAATGATGGATTGGATATGGGAGAGAGAGAGGTAAAAGTTAAAGATGGTTGGCGGGCCACGGTGGCTCATGTCTATAATCCCAGGACTTTGGGAGGCTGAGGTGGAAGGATCACTGGAGCCCAGGAGTTCAAGACCAGCCTGGGCAACATGGTGAGACCCTGTCTCTACAAACAATACAAACATTAGCCAGGCATATTGGCACATGCCTGTAGTTCTAGCTACTCAGGAGGCTGAGGTAGGAGGATCACCTCAGCCTGTCAAGGCTACAGTGAGCCATGATCTCAGCACTGCACTCCAGCCTGGGTGATAGAGTGAGGCACTGTCTCAAATAAACAAACAAAAAAAGCATTAAACATGGTCACAGGCAAGTAAGATTAAATTATAGCAGCAGGACAGATCTGATGATCTTCCTGAGAAAGTGATATAAATTTTGGGTCCATATCCACTGACAGTCTTTATCTAACCTTCCTCCTGTCCTTCCTCCTCTGTCATCACTTTGTTCTCAGGCCAGCATATACCCACCTGTCGCTTGGGCTAGGTAAGCTATTTGTTGAAGCAGTGGGCTATCTGAAGATAAGGACAAGGCTTTGGCCATGTGGAATAAGACCTGTGGGCTTGGGCTCCTTGTATGACAAACATGGTGGGGAAAAAGGATTGTCCAGACACAGAGGCTCTGCATCCCTTTCAAATTTTGTCCACTAAACTCATAAAGCATTGATCAGAGAAAGTTTATCCTTGCCATCCTTAGTGAACTGTGGCAACACTGAACCATGGCAACACTGAACCATGGAGTGATATGCCTTGCCCTCTGCTAGAGAGGGAATGGAGCCAATTCCAGAGTGGGGTGTTGGAGCTTCCTGACTCGCAGGTATCTCACTGGGGCCTGTTGCTCAAGCAAGTAGAAGTAGGTCATAAGCAGCAATCAGGGACAGGAACAGGATGTTCCCAGCTGGAGGTTTGAATATCAGTGAGTCAAAGTTGAGGTTTCCATGGCAATGGTAATGCTACCTCTTTTTTGAGACCAGCAATCCAACTAAATGGGGGTGAGTCAACTGCTGCTTTGAAAACCTATTGTATTTCTTCAATTTCATCCTAAGATTGGAAATATTTATGATTACTTGGGTCCTGGGCATTTGGCAGAGTTTCAGATGGTTTTGCACGTGGTGATGTGGTCTCAGGATAGAGGCCCGGAAACACCACCTCACAAAGTGTCTCTCCCCAGTCTGTTGCATGAACCTCACAGAATGATGAACTTTAAGGCTCCAAATGGAGTGAGATTTTCCAGTAGCTTAAAGCTCTTTTAGGGTATTTCAAAACCTTCCAACTTTACTGATTTGAAAAAGATATCAAGAAGAGAAGGATGAATGGAGAAGATCCTACTGACTGTTTCAGAAAGATCTCCGAGAACCTTTGCTCTAGTCTCTGTCTTTTTAAGAGGATGTATTCAGAAAAAGATGGCTAGAGCCTCCTCTCTGACCCCCTCTTCATATTCCCTTGCCCATTTGGTCAGTTGCATGCCCAGGCCATGCAGGCCCTTGGCACTTAATCTCAGCAGCAGTCAGAGAATTCTTGAATCACAGAATCTTACAGCTGGAAAGTGCTTCAGTCAGAGAGGGCTGAGCACGGGGCTGCCTGAGACTTTACAGTTTCAACCAGGTGAGGCCTTTACCACAGTGCAGGGCCTTGATGTGGTCACCATGTTCCTAGGACCAGCCATTAATTTTATAGATACTAGTCTCATAGACGGACTTAACAATAACCAGGTTTGCAACAAACTGGCATATAAATGCAAATGTCCATATTTGTATTTTATGATGGGGGATATTCTATTTTAGTGACCAGAATTCTCACTCACATGTGTCTTTTTTTTTTTTTGAGACAGAGTCTCATTCTGTCACCCAGGCTGGAGTGCTGTGGCGAGATCTTGGCTCACTGCAACCTTTCCTTCCCAGGGTTCAAGCAATTCTCCTCCTCAGCCTCCCGAACCTTCACTTCCCAGGTTCAAGCAATTCTCCTGCCTCAGCCTCCCGAGTAGCTGGGATTACAGGTGCCTGCCTCCATGTCTGGCTGCTTTTTGTAGTTTTAGTAGAGATGGGGTTTCACCATGCTGGCTGGTCTTGAACTCCTGTCCTCAGGTGATCTACTCACCTTGGCCTCCATAAGTGCTGGGATTACAGGAGTGAGCCACTGGGCCTGGCCTCTCACACATCTCTGATCCAATGTCAAGCTGTTCAGGAGATTGAATTGGTAATCAGAAGCTTGCTTAGTGATCAGCGCTTCACAGCCAAGGGAGGAAGATATCTTGAAGGCTTTTTATCTTGAAGAGAAAACTCCAATGAAATCTCCCTGCCCAATATCAGACACTTTTTTGGGTTAGCGCAGAATGCTTAGGTGCCCTGAACTAGACGTTCTATCTCCAGGACGGCCCTGGGAAAATAAGTATTGATAAGTCTGTTCCCTTGGGCTTACATGGGATCCACTCAGACGGTGTCCTTGTTGGTAGCACAAGGTCATTGGGCTCCAATAGAGTGGTGGGTTTTGCAGTATTCCAGACATGGTATGGCCAGCTTGTAAACGCTTATTGTCTTCCTCAGTCTGCACAAGATACAGAACATGCATGTTCTAGAGTTATAGCCATGTGTAGTATAGCCAAGAATGAGGATAAGAGCAGAAACAGCTTATGAGAAATCGAGATATGTGTAGCAAAACCCATTGGATGACATTGCATGTCATTGGGTTTCAGCTGTCTTGATGTTCATATCATTTACAGTTATGTCCTCACAAATCACACCCTGGTCACCTTGTCACCTGATTTATTGACGTTCTCTTAGGATGAGTTGATCATTCTTAGGCTCCCTTTCCAAGGGTGCCCAGTTTCTATTCTCTTACAGGGACCCTGTTAGAGCCTCCTCTAGGATTGTGGAGGACTAGTAGCTCACCTAATCTAATACTTTAGAACAAGAATTTCCAATGCTATATCTCCGGCCTGCCTTGGCTTGAATGTGCCAACAGTATGGAATTCAACCCTCTTATAGAGATTTGGTAGTTTCAACGAAGACCCTGGGCCAAAAGGGATAAATATCAGAAGATATTGTCAATGCCCAACTGTGTATCCAGCACCTGACCTGTGGTTGAGGTTTTCTAGGTGCTATGGGGGATGCTAAAGAAGAGCAAGCAGACAAGGAATGGGTAGTTGACCCCTTTCCAAAGTTCTGCAGGCAAGGAGGGTTCAGACATTCACAGACTTGGCAGTTTGTGTCCTCAGCACCCCTGGAGCTCATTCAATCACCTAGAATTACACCACTCCTGTCCCTCCAGGGCTCTAGGTATCTGCCACTTTGATGGAAAAAGCTGAACCCTGTGGCCTGTGGGAAGAATTGTAAGGGAAAGGTTGGGTCTACCATGGAGTTAACAGTCTGCCACTGGGAACCCATGCGCCTGGTCAGAGTGTCAGAAAATCCCACTATATCTTTGGCCTCTTTTTTTGTTGTTGTTATAGTATATCTCTGGAAAGCAAATCATTTCACATGAAATCAGTAACAAATAAAGATGAAAGTGGCTGAGCAAAGACCAAGACCTTGACTATGAGGCACTGAAGGAGAGGATAGAGATGCTGAGTGATGATAGGTTGGCTAATAACAGTGACAAGACACAGCCCCCTGGGGCCTCGCAATCCCTAGCACAAGATTTCACAGTGACATTTTATTGCCATTTCGCTGACGCAGTTTTGGAACTGGGAAAATTTCCCTTCAAATCCATGTTGAACTCAGAGAACTAGCTCATGGTGCAAATCCCAGATATCTCACTTAAAAACTTTGTGATCTTAGGTAAAGTACTTAATTTCTTTGAGCTATACTTCATCTAACTATAAAAGAGAGAAAATAATACCTACTCAAGAAGGACTGTGTGAAGATTAAGTGAAAATATGTGTAATGTGTGGCTCATCATAGACATACAATAAATGGAAATTACTATTTCTCCTTTTATTTCTGTAGCAGCTTCCTTTAATGATGTCCATAAAGAATTCCTTCTACTCCACTCCCAAGAGTATCATCTAGATGTAAAATTGTTCACTCAAGTATTCCACGAGCTGAACTGTGATCAAGCCTAATAACAAAAGTGAATTTTGATAAAGAAGCATTGGCCTATTCCTTACGAAAGATAACTTACATTCTTTGAATAGCAAAATTATAGTAATAAGATTTTTCACTTTCTAAAGGAGGGTCCTGTTCTTTCTTTCTGTTTTCCTTCCCCCTTTTTTCTTCTTCCCTTTTTCAGCCTGCAAGATATCTTTGAATGGATTTCTCTCAAATGTTCCTCCTAAATTGACAGGGGCTGACCAGGACAGTTCCGTGATCTCAGCTGGTGAGTGTGAACAGAGACTCCCCCTGTTCTCCTGTACATGCTGGGTCATGGCTCTTGCTTGGTGTGTGGAAATAAAAAAAAAGAAGATACTGACCATCTCCTCTCCCTGTTCATTTACTCACACCACTTAACATCCTCTATTGTGATCCCCTTGTTAGATGAGTTCCATGATGGCAGGGATTGTGTGTATCTTGTATGTCTTCACATGCTCAGTGTTTGCACACTGTCTGGTGCAGAGCAGGGATTTGATGCTTGAATGTGTGGGATGGCAGCCTGGCAGGGCAAGGTTACACAGCAAGTCCAGAATAGAGCCTGACTTTGGAGCTTCAGACTATATTCTAAAAGTCCAAGCAAGAGAATCCTGATTTCGGCCCGAGAGATGCATCTTCTAGCAAAGTCAGCATTGGGATGGCGTTTCTTCTCAGAGGGGTGGGCTTCCTACTTCTCCCTCCCAGGCTCCCTGTTTGCAAGGCCAAGATCCAGTTCCAGAAGGAAATCAATATTTGATGTTCCCTTACTTCCCCAGCATTGGTTCGGAGCGCTGAAAATCTCCTGCCCTCCTTACACCACGCAGATAGGAAATCTCTCCTTTGGCTTTTACCTTCTGGGCCCGGGACCCCCACTGCTATGGTGGATTTTAGCTATATTATTTTCTGCTGCTCTGAGTGCCAACAGCACACTCAGCATTAGACACAAACACGCAAAGATGCAGCTCTTGCCTGCCCCAAAGGCTTGCTGGGTAAGTGAAACAGACTTAAATGCAGACTTCAAATATGCCAGAGGCAAAGACATTTAAAATTCTCAGCGGGGGCTGAAAAGAGAACACTTTTAAAGGCTTTTCATTTCTTCCTCTTCCTTTGCCTTCAGCATCCAAGCCGCCTGGGAGTTGTCCTGCCTCTTCTATGACCATTTAAGGATGACTGGTCCTTTTGTGAGTGGTCTCACAAGGCTTTGAGATATTGGCTGTGAATGTGGACAGCTCTTCCCAGGCTGCCCAAAGGAGCAGAGGCAGCTAAACTTGGCAACGAACACTTCCAAGCCAGTTTTCCATTTCACCATGCATAATGGTGTTATTAAATTGATGATTTAGGATCTCAAACCAGCAGAGCTCTGTTTTTTGGGAGAAATATAATTTATATGGCAGGTTTTACCTAGGCTATTTCTGAACACCAGAAACCAATGCCTAGGACAGTGTAGATCAGAGAGCTGGTGAGCTGGGCCCTTTGGGGTCAGAAGCCACCTGGGCCAGAGTTTTGCAGGTAATGCTCTGGTGCACTGAGTCCATGCTCTGTTCACTTTGGTGTCCCTTTCTCCTAGCAAAGACATAACCTGGTGTCATATCTCTCCTAAGCAATATGAGGAGACACTACCTTGACTTCCAAGGATTTGTATCCTGATCTTCTGGTGGGGATGTTATTTTGGGGAAGTTATGTTCACTGGCTAATGAAAGCATCAAGACTGAAATAGTGAACTCAGATCTTGCCCAAACACAAGATCCCCGAAAGCATAATACCTTCCTTCCATCTGGAATGTGTGGCAGGATGGAATGAAGGAAAGAAGTTTTTCTGTTTGTTTTGTTAAAGCAAAGGGACCTACCTGAAATGCCCCTTATTGTGCATGTATCAGGAAAGACCTTCTGTTCCAGCAAGTCTCCAAACACTGGGCTGCAAGGCTGGTCTGATGTATTATGCACAAATGCTTACATTTTCTCAGTGATTCCCCCACACCCCTGATCTCCTTTTCTTATTTTTGACCGAGAAAATAGTCTTAGGAAAAAATGACATAAATATTTTTGTGAATCTAATATTGGATTAAATTTTGCTTGGTATAGTTCCTTATACACAGGAGAGCTCAATGGAGGGGCACTGATGGTGGGAGAGATAGAAATGATTTAATAGTAACTCACTCAGCATTCCCAGAATAAATTACTTCTGTTCCCACTGCGGCCTGTGTGTGCACTTACATACTCATGCGTGTGGACATGTGCACACATGCACACCTTAAGAGCCAGCAAGCCATGTTGCTTATTCAAGGGACCATAAACCTTTAAAAGATGCTTTTGCTGAGTTGGCTGTTTTAACTAAACTTCATGTCAGATTGAAAAGAAGCAAACATACCAACATGTCACCCATGCTGAGAAAATGAAAGAGCAGGGCATTTTATATATAGGTCCTGTCTTTTAAAGGAAGGCAGTCAAAGGCAGACCTTTCTAAATGAATAGGAGGGGTGTGGGAGCAGTGCAGGAATGGGAGAGGTATATCAGGAATCCCCTTGGGGTTACCTTTTTGTGGACATGTCCCCATTTGTTCACTCCACCTGGCCCAAGTAGCCATGGAAGGGAGTCAAGTTTCTGAGGAAGGCATGTGCTCACTCAGAGTGTCGGCATGAATAAAAAGGGTTGAAGTCAACTGCTCTAAAAGAGTGTGATGACTAGGGGCCATTTAACACCTGGACAGTGGTAACACTCAAGGAAAAGTAGTTTCCATTCTAAGGTCTGGGACTTCATGGGAGCCCCTGCTGTATGCTGCACAACTTTTATTGCATTTCAAAAATAAGTGCTACTGCAGTCACCCATAGACTCAGAGGTATTTTTAACAACTCCTATGTCCAGTGCTAAGGGCTTCAGAAACACAAGGGTAGTGTGGTAGCAGTAACAACAAATGCTTTTATAATGCTTACTACTCTGTGTCCAGCACTTTCCCAAGCTTTATCCAAATAATAATGTATTTAAACTAGTTTAATTCTCTCAACAGCCCCATGAGGGAGGTACTATCATCATCATCACCATTATCATCATCATCATCATGATCATTTTTAGAGAAATAGGGTCTTGCTCTGTCACCCAGCGTGGAGTGCAGTGACATGATCATGACTTACTGCAGCCTTGACCTCCTGGGCTCAAGTGATTCTCCTGTCTCACCCTCTTGAGTAGCTAAGACTACAGGCATGCCCACCTAATTTTTGTATTTTCTGTAGAGATGGTATCTCATTATATTGCCCATGCCAGTCTCAAACTCCTGGCCTCAAGCAATCCTCCCACCTTGGCCTCCAGAATGCTGGGATTACAGGCATGAACCACAGTGCCCAGCTGGGAGGTACTGTTATTATCCCCTTTTACAGACTGTAAGCCAGGAGTTTGTTCTCTATAGCAGTGATGGAATACTCACGGAAGAAAGTGACAAGCTGCCAGAGAAGATACAAAGGAAGTGCAATAGTTGTGTGTAGGAAGAAAAAGTGACTTCCCAGCCAGAAGGTCAAGGAAGGCTTTATGGAGGAGGTGGAATCTGAGTGGGTCTTGAAGAGTGGGGTGGGTTTCTATGTGTTTGCTCTTTTTTTGCTTTGTCATAGAAAGAAAGGGATGAGAAATTACCATAACGGGGTAAGAATGGGTTGTAGGGCCGTTTAGGCTGTCAAAAGTCAAAATTACAACATATTTAATTTAAAGATCTTAACTGACATTTATTTGTGATTCTAGAATCAGGCAAAACCTCATTCTTTGAAATGGAATGAGTGTTCCGATTAACTGAGCAGAGGAAACTGGTTTCACAGACAAGAAAAGGCTGAGGAAAGCAGAAACAGAAAACAAACAAACAAAAAGGCTGGTCATTCCAAAGCTACTTTCCTTGCAAAGGTTTTAACAGAGGAGACTTCCTTATCATGTCAGCTAGAACTGCCCTGTGTGGGGACTCAGCAATTATCTCCCTCTTCTGATTTCTTAGAAGGTAAGATCAACATGCCTATAGTTCCAGGTACTCAAAAGGGTGAGAGAGGAGAATTACTTGAGTCCAGAAGGTCAAGGCTGCAGTAAGTCATGATTTTGCCACTGCACTCCAGAGGAGCAGGGCCCTATCTCTCTATAAATGATGATGATGATGATTATGATGATGACAATGACAATGATGATTATGATAATGCCTCCCTCGTGGGGCTGTTGAGAGGACTGAATTAGATTAAAGACATTATTATAGTTTTGGCTTGGTAATATTGAACTTCAGCATGAGGGACTCCATTTTGATTTAGTCTGTTGTGGCTGGTGCAGGTCAGTCCCAACCAGTGGCCTTTTATAAATCTTAATTAACAAGGCAGAGGGCTGTAAGAGCAGAGATTCAGAGGTTGTGGGTCACTGCGGATGACAACACATTTGTTATGGCTAGGAAATCAAAGAATAAGAGTCTGGAAAGGTAGAGGAAAGGCAAGTAAAGGTAAATTTGGAGTTCGGACTCATTTGTGTTGACCTTGAAGGTGAGATCAGGGGTGTTCAGTCTGGTGGCAGAGGGAACAATGGAACTGAGAAGAAAAACCCTGGAGGCCATTGCAGAGAGGGACTACTAGTAAACACTCCAACTGAGAGGCAAGGAGAACCTAGCAGCAGTAGAAATGGAGCTGAGAATCAGGAGGCAGAGTTAAGAGGGGACAAAATATTAGATGTGGGTGGATATATTCATTCATTTCCTGTTGCTTATAACACAGTCCTTGAAACTGGGTAATTTATAAAGAAAAGGATTTTATTTCTTATAGTATGAAAGCTGAGAAGTCCCAGGTTGAGGGGCTGCATCTGACGAGGGCCTTCCTGATGAAGGTGCTCTTTGAAGAGTCCCAAGACAGTACAGGGTATTACATGGGTAGAGGGCCAATTAGGTCCCTCAGGTCTCTCTTCCTCATCTTATAAAGCCACCAGTTCTATTTCCATTATCACCCATTAATTCACTAATTCCCTAATCCATGATTAGTCCATTCATGAGAGCAGAGCCTTCATGACCTAAAGACCTCTTAAAGGCTTTGCCTCTCAATACTGCCACATTGGGGATTAAGTTTCCTTTTTTTTGGGTAATTTCTTGTTTTTTATTGAGGTAAAACATATGTATAGAATTTATCATGGTAATCAGAATTTCAACACAATTTTGGAGGAGTCAAATATTTAACCACAGTTGGGGAGAAGGCAGTGAATGGAAAGAGTCAAAGATGACGTCAAGGCTTAGTGACTTGAAGAGGTGGGTGATGTTAGTAGACAAGTCAACTAGCGGGAGGCAGGGTGGGGTGGAAGAAGAGAAGAGAAAATTATGTGTTTCATCCTATTGTAAACTAAAAGCAGTGTCATTTTAGTTTACAATAGGATGTCCAGAGGGAGATTTACAACACGTAGAATGAGGAGTTGGGGTCCTTGGAAGAGCAGTTGTGATTGGAGATGATGAATTTTTACAGTCCTTCTCCCTACTGTGTCTCTCAACCAGTGAAAAACAAACACAGAACAGCTAGACAATTTCCAGTGGCCCCTGGATGGGGAGGAAGTGCTGCCAGGGAGGCAGCCTTGTGTTCAATCTAAGCTCTGTCATCACTATGTGGTCCTGGAAAAGATGCTCTGCCTTTCTCAACTTCTGGTCTCACATTTTCAAAAGAGAGTTTATATGAGATATGGTTTTAAATGCCTCGTACTTAGTGGGGCCTCTAAGTATTCTGTTCTGCCTTGTCTGGAAGTGTTTCCAGAGTTTATCTGTGTTTCTGCTGCTAAACCTCTTATGATGCCGAGGACAGCCCCCACAACAAAGAATTATCTGGTCCAAAATGTCACTAGTTCTGAGGCTGAGAAGGCCTGCATTAATCCACTTTTTTTTTTAAATTTTTTATTGGATTATAGGTTTTGGGGTACATGAGCAGAGCATGCAAGACAGTTGCGTAGGTACACACATGGCAGTGTGCTTTGCTTTTCTTCTCCCCTTCACCCATGTTTGGCATTTCTCCCCAGGCTATCCTTCCCCACCTCCCCCTCCCACTGGCCCTCCCCTTTTCCCCCCAATAGACCCCAGTGTTTAGTACTCCCCTTTCTGTGTCCATGTGTTCTCATTTTTCATCACCCACCTATGAGTGAGAATATGCAGTGTTTCATTTTCTGTTCTTGTGTCAGTTTGCTGAGGATGATGTTCTCCAGATTCATCCATGTCCCTACAAACGACACGAACTCATCATTTCTGATTGCTGCATAATATTCCATGGTGTATATGTGCCACATTTTTCCAATCCAGTCTATTATCAATGGGCATTTGGGTTGATTCCAGGTCTTTGCTATTGTAAACAGTGCTGCAATGAACATTCGTGTACATGTGTCCTTATAGTAGAACGATTTATAGTCTTTTGGATATATACCCAGTAACGGGATTGCTAGGTCAAATGGAATTTCTATTTCTAAGGCCTTGAGGAATCGCCACACTGTCTTCCACAATGGTTGAACTAATCCACTTATTTATTATTTATAAAGCACCTACTAAGCAGCAGCTCTAAATACAGTGTTGAGAATATAAAGATGAAAAGGCAAATTTGTGCTCTCAAACACCCCCGACAGTATTGTGAGGAGACAGACAGGCAATAGAACAATTATATGGAAATAAGGCATGTGCTATTATGGGGTACATACAAAGGCGGGTGGAACAGTGGAAAGCAGTGCATCATGGTGGTTGAAGGCCGCCTCTTTGGAATGGGTCAGCCTGGAATGGAATCACAGTTATACTGTACCACCTGGGACAGGCTACTGTACCACCTGGGACAGGCTACTTCACCCCTATGAACCTCAGTTTTGTCATCTATAATGCAGATGATTATGCTTGCCTCATTGTGCTGTTGTGAGGATTAAATGCATTCAGCACATAGTGATCGGTGCTAACACATAATAATCGGTCAATAGATGGTAACTAATGATAATGATGAGGATGAGGATGAAAATGATGCTTACCTGCCTCAGGATTTAGGAAAGCTTCTCATTATTTAACCCAAGGCTTGAGGGATGAGTAGAAGTTGCTAAGTAAGCAATGAGGTAGAGGCCTAACAGGGAAGAGGAATCATCTACTTCCTTCTTAGAAAACTCATAAGCAGAAGACTCGTAAGCTCTATCCCTTCTGTGCAAAGTTAACACATAAAAGAAGGATGTGAGCTGTGATTTTCTCACTATGGGTCTAAGCATCCTCTGGTCTATTTCAGAGAGGCTTTAAGTAGCTCTCTTTATTTATTTTATTTCATTCTGGGTTTTTTTTTGTATTTTATTATATTATTTTTCAGTTTCACTCTTGTTGCCTAGGCTGGAGTGCAATGGCATGATCCTTGCTCACTGCAACCTTTGTCTCCTGGGTTCAAGTGATTCTCCTGCCTCAGCCTCCCACATGGCTGAGATTACAGGCATGCACCACAACACCTGGCTAATTTTGTATATTTAGTAGAGATAGGGCTTCTCCATGTTGGTCAGGCTGGTCTCAAACTCCTGACTTCGGGTGATTTGCCCACCTCTGCCTCCCAAAGTGCTGGGATTACAGGTGTGAGCCACTGAGGCCAACCAATTTTTTATTAAATTTTTAAATTTGAGATGGAGTTTTGCTCTTGTTACCCAGGCTGGAGTGCAATGGCACGTTCTCAGCTCACTGCAACCTCTGCTCCTGGGTTCAGGCAATTCTACCTCAGCCTCCTGAGTAGCTGGGATTACAGGCACGCGCCACCATGGCCAGCTAATTTTTTGTATTTTTAGTAGAGACCGGGTTTCACCATGTTGATCAGGATAGTCTCGATCTCTTGACCTCATGATCCACCCGCCTCGGCCTCCCAAATTGCTGGGATTACAGGCGTGAGTCACCATGCCCGGCCTTATTATTATAATAATAATTTTTTTTTTGAGACAGAGTTTCACTCTTGTTGCCCAGGCTGGAGTGCAATGGCATGATCTCGGTTCATCGCAAACTCTGCCTCCCGGGTTCAAGCAATTCTCCTGCCTCAGCCTCCCGAGTAGCTGGGATTACAGATATGTGCCACCATGCCCAGCTAATTTCGTATTTTTACTAGAGATGGGGTTTCTCCAGGTTGGTTAGGGTGGTCTTTAACTCCTGACCTCAGGTAAGCCATTCACCTCGGCCTCCCAAAGTGCTGGGATTACAGCCATGAGCCACAGCGCCCAGCTAATTTGTTATTCTTTTTTAAAAATTTTGTTGAAACAGGGTTTCACTATGTTGCCTAGGCTGGTCTTGAACCCCTGGTCTCAAGCAATCCTTTCATCTCAGCCTCCCAAAGTGCTGGGATTACAAATATGAGCCACCTTGCCTGATTTATAGTCCTCTTTAGGAGATCCAAAGTGCAATCCTGAGAAGGGGCAGCCACCACTGTGGAGACTTTTTTGCAGTGTGGAAGGTTTCTCACTCAGAGACAAGCTTTGCACATTTGGCCTTAGCAGGGGCAGTGGGCAGGGTTTCCCCATGCCAAAGGGTTGGTTTGAAAAATGAGGAAGGAAGATAAGAACAACTGCATGGATGTAATTATCTGTGAGGAAACTTCCCCTCAACTAATTCACAGATGGAATTCCACCTTATGTAAATGTCTTTGGGAGCAAATTTTCTGAACGAATGGAGTCCAGATTCTATCAGCTTGTATAACTAGTTTGATATGCTTTCCTGTGTGATCCTAACAAGACTTTTTTCCTCTGAGCATTCTTTGACGGAAATTAAAGTAATCATAAACATGATCAGGAAGTAACTTTGAGTGAAGGAAATAGTCCCCCCACCCCCGCTCCTTTTTTCCTGTTGCCCAGGCTGGGTGCAGTGGTACAGTCATGGCTCACTGCAACCTCCTTCTCCCAGGCTCAAGCAATCCTTCCACCTCAGCCTCCTGGGTAGCTGGAACTACAGGAGCCTGCCACCATGCCTGGCTAATTTTTTTTGTATTTTTTGTAGAGACAAGGTTCTGTTATGTTGCCCAGGCTGGTCTCAAACTCCTGAGCTCAAGCGATCCAACTGCTTTGGCCTCCCAAAGCACTGGGATTACACACATGAGTCACCATGCTTGGCCTTTCTCATACTTAACAGCAACCAGCATTTAGTGGGTGTCTATTATGTGTGGCCAGTTGTCCCAAAATGCCTCATTTATATTATTCATAGTATTGTGGTTTCCATTTCAGAGCAGGGACAACTAAT